TTGAAAGATTATGAGTCCAGGAAGGAAATTATATTGTAGTTGTTATTGGAATGACTTGCTTAAGAGAATTGTTGTCAGTCAGTGATGAATTGAATGGACCAATGATGTAACTCATATAGGTAAAGATAAAGGACCTCTGGTCAAAGGTGACTATGGGATTGCGACGCGGGTGGCACTGTGGTCTAAACCACTGAGCCTCTTGGGCTTGCCGATAATAGAAGGTCGGCAGTTCGAATCCCTGCGACGGAGTGAGCTCCCGTTGCTCGGTAGCAGCTCCTGCCAGCCTAGCAATTTGAAAGCTCACGAAAAGTGCAAGTAGATAAATAGGTACCAGTCTGGCGGGAAGGTAAATGGCGTTTCCATGCACTGCTCTGGTTTCAGTGTTCCGTTGCGTCAGAAGTGGATTAGTCATGCTGACCACAAGACCCGGAAAAACTATATGTGGACAAACGCCGGCTCCCTCGGTCTGTAAAGCAAGATGAGTGGTGCAACCCCAGAGTCGTCTGCGACTGGGCTTAACTTTCAGGGGTCCTTTACCTTTACCTTTTAAAGGACCCCTGGACAGTTAAGCCCAGTCAAAGGTGACTATGGGGTTGCTGCGTTCAGCTTGCTTTCTTCTTTTTTTTATTTATTTTTTTAAAATAATTTTTATTAATTTTCCAAACATGTATTAAAAACAAACAATAAAACAGAACAAAACATACAAACAAATAAACATGTATAATTTCATAAACTTATTTTCCTTCACCTTACTTCCCGGACTTCCCCATACCTCCCTTTTTCTGCATCCTTATTTTTACCTTCTCACAGCAACCCTCCATTTAATTAATTGACTCATCTTCATTATAATTTCCTTAAACTTATGATTTACAGCTGCAATTCTCTGTTTCTTAACACCATAACATCTCAGCACTCCTCAATGTTACAACAATTTTTAAGATATATTTTAAATTTCTTCCAATCTTCTTCCACTGTCTCACTCCCCTGGTCACGGATTCTGCCGGTCATCTCCGCCATTCCCATGTAGTCAATCACCTTCGCTTGCCATTCTTCCAGAGTGGGTAGCTGCTGCGTCTTCCAATACTTTGCTAGAAGAATTCTTGCTGCTGTGGTAGAATACATGAAAAAAATTCTGTCCTTCCTTGGCACCAATTGGCCCACCATGCCCAGGAGAAAAGCCTCTGGTTTTTTAGAAAATGTCCATTTAAGGACCTTTTTAATTTCATTATAGATCATTTCCCAGTAGGCTTTAATCTTCGGGCAGGTCCACCAAAAGTGATAGAAAGTACCTTCAGTCTCATTACATTTCCAACATTTATTATTGGGCAAATGGTAAATTTTTGCAAGTTTGACTGGGGTCATGTACCACCTATAGATCATTTTCATTATGTTTTCTCTCAAAGCATTACAAGCCGTAAACTTAACACCAGTGTTCCATAACTTTTCAGCTTGCTTTCAGGCCGAGGGAGCCAAAGTTTGTCCACAGAGATTTCTGGGTTATGTGGCCAGCAGGACTAAACCGCTTCTGGCGGAACACCGTGATGCAAACCAGAGTGCACGGAAACGCCGTTTACCTTCCCGCCGCAGCGGTACCTGTTTATCTACTTGCACTGGTGTGCTTTTGAACTGCTAGGTTGGCAGGAACTGGGACAGAGGAACGGGAGCTCACCCCATCATGGGGATTCAAACCGCCGACCTTCTGATCGGCAAGGCCAAGAGGCTCAGTGGTTTAGACCACAGCGCCACCCGCTCCCTATAACTCATATAAGGCAGCTTAGTATATTGACTAGTTTAAAGTGCACACACATCAGACCTTATCCGAAGTATTTCACTTGTGTGATTTCATCAGCAGCTGATAATTGGTTCTGCCCCCTAACCCAATACTTGGCATTTTGCTTTTCCTCTACCCATCCTCTATTCTGCACCTGACTCCAGTTGGTGGGTTTGGGGTTTCTAGTAAGCAAAGTGGACTTTGCAAACCAAATATGGCCAGTGTCATGGAATAGCACCTCGGAAGCTGTCGTTGTAATAACCCCCCCAGTGCACAAAATAAATGCCCCTACTTTTGGACGCTATGCTGAGAGAGGTAGAACCTGCCACACAGAAGCATTTTTGTTTTTTTGCAACATTCCTACCAATGTAGTATGTATACATTGTTCTTAATTATGAAGCTTGTATAATATTATGTAGTATTTTTTCATCCCCGTGGTCAGGTTCATATTTTGGATCTTGGCTCTTTCCCGTTAATGCAGGGTTGCTGTAACATCCAGCGACTCACCGCCACACATTCTTGGAACTTTATTTTTTTAAAAACTTGTAAATTAAGCCATGTCTAGAGGGCACCGACATAGTGTTGCTTATTCATGTGATATGCTATATAAATAACAAATCCACTTTCACATTCATGTGAAAACTTTTTAAATTTCAAAACCAGGAGATCAGTTCTTCATAGCTCAACATACGTAACTTGTATTATACAAACCCCCATTCTATGGACAGGATACTGTGTTTGGGAGAAAGGCTTGTATACCTGATAAGTAGATTATGACCAAAGGATTATTGGTCATCCTCTCCCATCTTTGGAAGAACTGTACGGTTCCCGTTGTCTTAGGAAAGCAAATAACATCCTGCAGGATTCATCTCACCCGGGACACAGTCTGTTTGCACTACTGCCTTCTGGCAGGAGATATAGAAACATCAAGTCAAAGACAAATAGACTGAAAAACAGTTTCTATCCAAGAGCTGTGGCCTTTTTGAATGCTGTAACTCGATAGTGTGACCTGGGAGTTTGATGGGTGTTGGTGTGGGTGTGGCTGGAATGTGGTTTGTTTGGTTGTTGTTGTTGTTTTGCTTTTGCTGTTTTAAGGGATGGCATCCAATTTTGTTGCACTTTGTGCAATGTTGCACTTGTGTAATGACAATAAAGAATCTATTCTATTCTATTCTATTCTATTTATATATATTCTGAATGTACCTAGTTCACATTCCTTTTCATCATTAAGTCTTGTCCTTTGCACTGTTGGATTTTTTACATCTTCTTCCATCTGTGGAATGATGTGCAATTGCCTCTCATCAACTTCAAAATCCTAAAATAGAACAAAATGTGTTTATGGAAAAAGCAGATAATTTAATACAATAAACACAGTTGTGATGTGTATATTTTACAACTATTATATTTTCATATGCTGCCTTAAAAGGAGAACCAAGTTACTATTATCTTTCTCTTTCCCCCCCTCTTTATGCCAAAGTGCTTGCAGTGACCACCTCCAAAACTATGTTAGCCATCATGACATTTGTATGCCAAGTCATTAATTGTATTCTTCCAGCTGTGGCTTCTGTCTTCCTGATTGTTTCCATGTGAGCTGTGTTTATGGCTGTATCTCTGCTTCTAGGTTTTGCTTGGCTAGAGTCTGCTTCTAGCCAGTTATGTTTGTGAAGAGGCTATAGCTTTGCATAAATTATTTAGAGGAATACCACTGACGTTCTTGGGGGAAATTGTTAACTGTTGCCCTCCAGTTTCTTGCCTCGTGAATTTAGCAGAATTCCTTTTCCCCTGCAGTTTTATTTCATAGGCTCTTTAAGAATCACCCTCTTCTGTTGTATACTTAGAATATTATTGATGGATGGATGGATGGATGGATGGATGGATGGATGGATGGATGGATGGATAGATGGGTGGATTGATTTATTGCTACCCTAATGTATGCTGACTTTCAGAGCAAAGCCCTCCAGGGCGGCTCATGTAAAAAATAATAATTAGTTACATAGGTAAAGGTAAAGGTACCACTGCCCGTACTGGCCAGTCTTGCCAGACTCTAGGGTTGTGCGCTCATCTCACTCTATAGGCCGGGAGCCAGCGCTGTCCGGAGACACTTCCGGGTCACGTGGCCAGCGTGACAAGCTGCATCTGGCGAGCCAGCGCAGCACACCGAACGCCGTTTACCTTCCCGCTGGTAAGCGGTCCCTATTTATCTACTTGCACCCAGAGGTGCTTTCGAACTGCTAGGTTGGCAGGCGCTGGGACCGAACCCCGCCGCGGGCATTCAAACCGCCGACCATGCGATCGGCAAGTCCTAGGCGCTGAGGTTTTACCCACAGCTCCACCTGCGTCCCTACAATATAGGGACATAGTTAGTTACATAGTTACATAGAAAATCTCTACTTTGCTGGCTGGCAATAATGCATTTATTACTAGACGGGTTGCAAAATTTGCCTTGGCTGCAAGTAAGTTGAGAGCTAGGCAGCAAGACAAGTATCATAAGGGGGAGTGTGAGACATGCTTAACTTATGCAAGAATGATTTTTGCTTTGCTGCTGCTGCTGCTTCTGTTGTTCAGTTTTAAATCAATTATTTGTATCCTACACATTGTGACCAATTGTGATGGCTTATAGCTTTTAGCAATAAAGATTCATTCATTCATTCAACTGAGAATATTTAGAAAATATATAAAACCATTATACAGATCCAAAACTGTCAATAGAACATTAAAACAATATAGAGCTTAACACATAGCATCCTAATTAAATGCATCTTGAAATAAAAATCCATTTAAAAGATTTTTAAAATCCATTTTTAAGATCCATTTAAAAGCTTTCAAAGATGGAGCCATATTTTTTTTCTTTGTAAAGCAATTTTATATTGTCCTTTGGCTCCAGGAGGAATTAGTTACTAGAGCTACCACACTTCATGAAGACTTGATAGTTTTCACTGCCTGGTTGTGCGGAAGGAAGCGACGTGAGGAAATATCATATTTGGATGTTTGAAAAAGATTTTAGTTTTTGATCGACTTATGCGCAAATTATATCCCATTTATTTTAATGGGATATACTCAACAGTATCTTTCAGATTGTGTCCTAATATCCTTCTTTTTGAGCTGTTTACTCCATTTTCAACTTTAACATCATATTGTATTAAAATAAGCAAAACACTTACAACTACGAAGTGTGTCATTTGTTTTAAGTCTCACACAACGAATAATATTTAGCATTATTTCATTCTAGGATGTTTTGTACTATGAACAACTGAAGTCTAATGTGATTCAGCATGACCTTTTGGTGGACAATTTGATTTATAAAGTGAGTATTTCTAATTTATATATCGCTATCTGTTGTTGTTTATATCATCATCATCATCATCACTTTTTACTTATGAGTCTCTTTCCATGAGGCATCCTGAAACAATTTGCCCAATTCAGATACCAACTGGGTATTCTCTCTCTGTCTGTACAGTGGTGCCCCGCAAGACGAATGCCTCGCAAGACAGAAAACCCGCTAGACGAAAGGGTTTTCCGTTTTGGAGGTGCTTCGCAAAACGAATTTCCTATGGGCTTGCTATGCAAGACAAAAATGCCTTGCGAGTTCCTGCAGGGTTTTTTCTTCCCCCCCTTTTCCCCAAGCCTCTAAGCCACTTAACAGCTGATCCGCTAAGCTGCTAAGCCGCTTAACAGCTGATCGCTAAGCCGCTTATCAGCTGAACCGCTGAGCCGCTTAACAGCTGAGCCGCTAAGCCGCTTATCAGCTGATCCGCTAAGCCCGCTAAGCCGCTAATAGCGCTAAGCCGCTAATGGGCTTGCTTCGCAAGACGAAAAAACCGCAAGACGAAGAGACTCGCGGAACGGATTCTTTTCGTCTTGCGAGGCACCACTGTATCTATTTGCTGACCGACCAAAGTGTCAGAATCTCTATTTTACTACTTTCAGATGAAAAACAACTGTTATTGTTTGTGAAAGGTTTCATCTAAAATTGCATTTATCTGAAGTATATCTGCAGTGGTTCAGTGCAAGAGTTAATATTTCTGCTGCTCCCCCCGCCCCCGTTGAATTATTTTGGAAAGGAAAAGAAAGAACAGGCAAGGATTGGGCAAGCTTCCTTTTTGGGTCACCATTAGCAGTGGCATTAGCCCAGCTTCTTCCATTTTTCCCTTAGGCTCCCCCCCACCTTGCCGCTATTGCAGGTTGTTGTTATCTTGCAAGTGTGGTGGCAGCCTGGCTAATATTTTGCATCCTTCACAATGTCCTGTTTCACGGCGTTTGCAGGTGGGTTGGTCGGCCACATCAATAAATGGTGGAGAAACTTCTGCAAAGTGGGCGGATTTTTCTGATGCGGAGAGAAGACATTCAGACAATTTCTCAATGTTGCCTCAACTCTTCCAGTGTAACAATTTTATGCACAGCTTGCTCAGGAGGAAATGGAAGTTGAATGTCGATTGCTAAAAGCATGTGAGAAGATTTGGATTTGGGGTTGAATAGAGAGAGGGTCTGTCTCAAATGTCATGCTTCAATACAGCCCTGATTCATAAGAGTCCTTCTGAAGCTACTTTTTTTTTAATGCAAAACCTGCCTTAATTTACAACCGACAATAACAGCATCCATGGATTCCTATACATTGTCTACTTTGGCTGTTAGTCAGACATCTGTAATTTTGTCCTGAATGGATAGGAAAAGCACGGTGAATAGAGGGGGGAAATGGTTTTTGCCTCTCTGCTGAGTTCATATTTGGGATGGGATATAAATTTTCTGAGTCTGACTCCTCCCCTGATATGCTCCTTTGTTGCATCTGTGGTGGTGTTGTACCAGTGTGACATTCTGCCACAGCAGTGTTACATTAGAACAAACTGTGATGTATCTTCACAATTCACTGGCTCAGGCTATTTAGGTGGTTTCCTGTGATTTTCCAGAGAAATGGCATCTGGATCATAGGTTTGTGCAGCTATTTTATTCAGTACACACACACACACACAGTGGTACCTTGGGTTAAGTACTTAATTTGTTCCGGAGGTCTGTTCTTAACCTGAAACTGTTCTTAACCTGAAGCACCACTTTAGCTAATGGGGCCTCCTGCTGCTGCTGCTGCGTCGCTGGAGCACAATTTCTGTTCTCATCCTGAAGCAAAGTTCTTAACCTGAGGTACTATTTCTGGGTTAGTGGAGTCTGTAACCTGAAGCGTATGTAATCTGAAGCGTATGTAACCCGAGGTACCACTGTACACACATATACACACATACACACACACACACATATATATATATACACACACACACACATATATATATATATATATATATATGACACTGTAAGACACAGACACTGTAACAATTTACAAATCACCAAGAACAGATTCCTTGGCCTCTTCGTGCGTCAGTTGTGATAGGAAGGGCATATAGAAATGCAAGCTGTTTTAGAAATGCATAGTTTTACTGTTGTTTTTCAGCTGGGATCCGCAAGCATTTTTGGTATGGCATTGCAGGGGGCTGGACTAGATGACCCTTGGTTCCCTTCCAACCTTAAAATTCTTTGATTCCATGCATTGTCTCAAACTTCTTCAAAGCCATTCCTCAGTTCTTGCCACGTGCCATGGCAAAGGAAAGCTTATTGTCTGAGAAATACAAACCTAGAACTCTCAAAGGGGTGCATGATTAGTTTTTCGGTTCTTTGATGGCTGAGGAATGCAGTTAAAATGTTAATTGGGAGATAATTTGCTTTCCCTCTCCCATTGAAAGAGTGGGGAAACTCCCATTGATGAAAACTAATAAGAAGTGACGTGATCAAATATAGTATATGGATATCAGTGCCTAGTGTTATGATGTTACTAATAGATTTTTTTCTGTGTGCAGGAAATGTGAAGTTGACAACAGGTGGAGTGAATAGTTATTAACTCTGTAGCATGACAACAATAATATCTTGTTATGCTAATGCGCCACAGGAGCTTCCCAGCTGGAAAATATACTTCTCAAGCTTCAAATTTTTATGGTTTTTCATTTGCAGGATGTGAAACTGACAGCCAGCAATGATGACTACTACTTCGTGTTTGAGGATTATTTATATCAGGTAAGTAATTACTGTTATTGCAGCAGCCTGTCAGTGGAAAAAAGTGACACGCAAATTAGGTACTGTTTGTTCCAGGTATCTTTTAAGCCCAGTAAAACTGGTAGTGAATTACAGTTGCACTAAGCTAACCAGCGGGGATGCGGGTGGCGTTGTTGGTTGAACCACAGAGCCTAGAACTTGCCAATCAGAAGGTTGGCAGTTCGAATCCCCACGACGGGGTGAGCTCCCGTTGTTCGGTCGCAGCTCTTGCCAACCTAGCAGTTCGAAAGCACAAAGTGCAAGTAGATAAATAGGTACCGCTCCAGCGGGAAGGTAAACGGTGTTTCCGTGCGCTGCTCTGGTTCACCAGAAGCAGCTTAGTCATGCTGGCCACATAACCTGGAAGCTGTCTGCGGACAAACACCAGCTCCCTCGGCCAATAAAGCGAGATGAGCGCCGCAACCCCAGAGTCGGTCACGGCTGGGCCTAATGGTCAGGGGCCCTTTTAAAGCTGACCAGCAGCGGAATCCTATGCATGCCTACTCAGAATTTCTACTATGTTTGGTGGGGCTTTCATTCAAGGAAGTGTGTATACTATTACAGCCTGGATGACTTAGTGACTTAATTAAATGGATCCATCAGTCACTGTCCAGAATCACTCAGCTATGCCTGTGCATGGCTAACTTTTACCATAAACAATCTTCAGCCAGCAAAGTTAAAGATAACTAGCAGGCTAAGTCAAACTCCTATTCAAATTGTCATTTTGTGCAGCTACAATGTTTGGATGACTGGTTTCACTAAGTTAGCCCTAGCTGAAAAGGATCTAAGACTCTCTGAAAACTGAATCCCCTGGGAAGGGTTACACTTTGAGATGCTAGATTTTTCTGTACTGTCCATTGATGTGCACTAGCGAATACCTATAGCAGTAATTCAGGACCTCTATTGATTTTCCGTTGGCCATACGGCATACTCTTTCAGAACACTGTGAATTTTCTCATACCCTCTCTTCTTCGGAGTATCCCTGGTATAAGAAAAGCCAGATTGAGGGAGCAGAAAGGCAGTAATTTGTAAGAGATTGTGATTTGTGCAGCTGAGAATTAATGGAGGCACAGGAATGATAATATAATAATAATTTTAATTTATTTATACCCCACCCATCTGGCTGGGTTTCTTCAGCCACTTTGGGCGGCTTCCAACAGAATATTAAAAACATCCCTAAACAGGGCTGCCTTCAGAGGTCTTCTAAACATGGAGATGCTCCTTTGGGTATACTGGACCGAGGCCATTTAGGGCTTTAAAGGTCAGCACCAAAACTTTGAATTGTGCTCAGAAACGTACCAGAAGCCAATGTAGGTCTTTCAGGACCGGTGTTACATGGTCTTGGCGGCTACTCCCATCTTGCTATCCACATTAAACAACAGTATAGATGAGCCCTAAGCTATGTAGCTTATTAAGAGCAACTGTGGAGAGATATTGAAAGATATTGGGGCAGATTCCGCATGCCGAAAAAATGTACACATTGGAGTCCTATGGGACTTGCAGGAGAAAAGTAGTATTGTTGATCATCATTTATATAGAGACCTGCAGATAAATACGGTTCTACACAGAATGACATGAGCAAAAGGGGTTGGTGGACTACCCCAAGGACATAGCAACCTAGATTTTGTCACTGATGGCATCATAAACAGAAAGAAGGAAGGGAAATGGGAGGGTAAAAAATGTGATTAAATGCAGTTAGATGTGCTAAAACCATGTTTCAGCTGGAGATGAAGATTAAAAGGCAAAGAAAAGGTGAGTTTTGAGAAAGGTGTGAGATTAGAGTTTTGGGAGGAACTCCCAGGAAAAAAATGTTTAAAAGGTAAATACCACTTAAATATAATAGTATTAAGCAGTCTCTTGTCCTAAAGCTCTGCACAGGAAATGTTGTATTCTTATATTTATACAATACTGTTTCCGACCTTGAACACTTAGGATGGGGAAGTGCTAGTCTTAAGTAAACAAGCATCCGTAATTTATTACCTTTGCTTCTAGTAAAGGAGAGCCAACTAATTTGTGTGGACTTGCATATATTGTTTCTTTTTAGTCTCCTTAAATGGAAGCTTATTACATTTGCAAATTTCCTAATGTGTATTTGATTGCAGTGTCTACATAAATGTCATGGGGGAGGCTTCACATTTTCGTGGCACTTTCAACTCGATTAGTCACAGCTGTTAGGGTGGGCTTGTCATTTTGTCGATTATAGCTAGATAAAACAAGCTGAAATATATTGGTGGCTGAATGTATCCCTCCTTAGAGGACAGACTGATTTGTTTAGTCCTCTGAATGCTAGAAATTAACAATAATTAGGACTCCTGGTTTTTTATGTGATATGTATGATGCTGTTTTTTTAATATTAAAAATATGCAGCAGAATTTATACCTCCCTATCCATCTTTACTAGTAATACTAATGTACTAATTGAAAGCTCATGATCTGAGCACGAGTCCTTATCTAGTCAAAGCAGCAGCACCTATATACAAGTATTAGCAGGTTCAGGGGAAACCTGCAGTTTGCAGAAATACAAAAAACTTTAGTTAAAAACAACCTTAATGTGGGGAAGAACCTAAAAAATAGACCAGTGTGTCCCCATATAGATGTTTTGATAGGCTTGCCTAAACAAGAATGTTTTGACCATGTGCCAAAAAAATACAGCAAAAGCACTTCTTTAAATGTCTATTAGCAGGGAGTATCAAAGTGCAGGTACCACAACACTAAAAGACTGATTTGAACAGGTCCCAAGTTGTTACCGGTTTTATATACCTACAGTATCGTTACTGTTGGTACGTGGGTGGCATTGTGATCTAAACCACTGAACCTCTTGGGCTTGCTGATCGGAAGGTGAGTGGTTCGAATCCCCATGGCGGGGGGAGCTCCCATTGCTCTGTCCCAGCTCCTGCCAACCTAGCAGTTCAAAAGCACACCAGTGCAAGTAGATAAATAAGTACCGCTGCAGCGGGAAGGTAAATAGCATTTCCGTGCACTCTGGTTTCCATCACTGTGTTCCGTTGCGCCAGAAGCGGTTTAGTCCTGCTGGCCACATGACCTAGAAAGCTGTCTGTTGACAAACGCCGGCTCCCTCGGCCTGAAAGCAAGATGAGCGCCACAACCCCAGAGTCGCCTTTGACTGGACTTAACCGTCCAGGGGTCCTTTACCTTTTTTTAACCTTTACCAACAGTAACACCTGGAACTTGGCTTGGTAGCAAACTGGCAACCAGTGAGTATCTATGAGCAGAGGTATTATATGGTGACAGAGTCCCACAGCTGTCAGTACCTGTATTCTGCAAAAAAATGCAGTTTCCGGGTCAAGTGGAAGGGAAGCCCCACACAGAGTGCATGGCAGTAATCCAATCTTGAAGTCAGCAATGCCTAAACTGCTGTGGTCAAGTTATCCTGGTTGTAGCTGTTGTACCCAGTGCAGCTGCTAAAAGACACTTCAACCACCGAGGCTGCCTATGCCCCCAGTGACAAAGGTGGAACCAGAAGAACCCTCATACTCTGGACCTGCTATTTCAGGGGAAGCGCAGCCCAGTCCTGGGCAGGCAAAATTAATCCAAAAATCTGTTTCATAATTAAAAGGAGCTTCCGGACTGGCAGAAGGTAGAATGAAAAATATTTCCAGTCAGTGGTCGCTTGACAGTTTTGACTGATGGAAGTCTCAAACGCCACTTTCTGAATCAGTTAGCTCTGAAATGCTAACGACGGTGCAAACTCATCTCTGTCAGAGTAAATAATCCGATGTCATTCAAAATCCTGGGGATAAATATAGATAAGTCAGTTACCCGTAAATTGCTCTCTGCAGGGCAGTACTAAGTTACCATTTTGCAAAAATGGTGTGTGTCCTTGTTCATCTCATTCATCAACGAAAACACTGACCAGTGCAGAGAACAAATGAATGGGCAGGAAATGAACGGAATTAAACTTTGTTGTAGGTGTGGTCACTCCTATACCTCATTGCAGGCAGCTATCTAAGAGTAAAACTTCATATTAGAAAGTGAAAACTGGGGCTCTAACTGCATATACCTTGTGGGGAGGGACACATCACTTAGAATAGAGTGTCATTTGGTGGGAGGGGTTGCTCAGTGCATCCCCACCCCCCAATTCCCCTGGAAATGTTACTCTATGCTTGGAGACACGTTGTTGTTTTCTTGCTCTTTTTCGTTTAGCCAGGCCCGCCTATGGAGAAAATGGCCTAGTGGAATTTTCAGGGAACTATTGGCTGGCACAGCAAGTACAGTCGTACCTTGGTTCTCAAACGCCTTGTGACTCGAATGTTTTGGCTCCCAAACGCCGCAAACCCGGAAGTGAGTGGTTTTGGTTTGCGGACATTTTTTGGAACCCGAAAGTCCAACGCAGCTTTGGCGGCTTCCGATTGAGTGCAGGAAGCTCCTGCAGCCAATCAGAACCCGTGATTTGGTTTTCGAATGTTTTCCAAAGTCAAACGGACTTCCGGAATGGATTCCACTCAAGAACCAAGGTACCTTCCTCCTGCCTACTTGATTCTCCTTTGAAAATCTGCTTCCCACGTTCACCTTAACCATCAGAGGACACATGTTTAATGTATAAGTTCTGTTGGAAGCAACGCCTTTGTTTGGGGAGAATGAAGGGACTTGTCTTTCCCATCTAATTTTGGCTAAATACAGACATTTGTGGTACTACGGCATTAAGTTTGATTCAGCACAAACACCTTGATAACTATACAAATATAATGAAGTCTGTGTGCGTGTTTTAGCTGCAAAGGAAGCATCCCCAGTTTTCTTAATGCCTCATTACAGATGTTTCTCTGTGTCTCATACAAGCAAATGCAGTGATAAGATTGGGGAGAATGGATTGCATGCGACGTCTGGACTGATCAAGTCATATCCTCCCCAGCTTCTTTAAAACTAAGTCATTGCTTAGCAGGAGAGGTAGCCTTGCACTGCTGACTGTTGTTCAGATTCATTCATTTATTTATAGGTGCCATCAGACCACCACAAAGCAAGGGAGTTATATATTGGTGTAAAACCTAACAACCAATAGCAATGGACACAAACCAAAATATTTTTTTTTTATAAAATATTTTATTGCAATTTTTTAACAAAAGAAAATCACCAAACATATGAAACACCATCACCACTAAATAACAAACAAAGAAGACATAGATAGACAAAAATATAAACCATAAGATATAACAAAGAAAAAAGAAAGAATCACAACCTTTCATACATTTTTTCCATAACTATCTGGACTTCCTCACGTCTCCCTTTCCTGCGTTCTCCGTAAAAAAATTATAAACCGCAATTTATTACCTTATTTCAATTCTTATGTTCTAGTTCTCATACATTATGACTCTAATTTTAAATGTTTCCATCAAATATTTAACTGCTTAGTTTAGGCATAACATTACTTCAAATCTCATCTTTATCATTCCACTTATTCTCATATATTTCTCATCTAGGCTACTGATGCCATATTATTTCCTTTCATGCACTTTCTTAACATTCATACAATTTATAAATTTTTTGTAAATAGTCTTTAAACTTCTTCCAGTCCTCTTCCACCGCCTCTTTTCCCAGGTCTCGAATTCTGCCAGTCATCTCGGCCAGCTCCTTGTAGTCTATCAGTTGCGTTTGCCATTCTTCCAGTGTGGGCAAATCTTGTGTCTTCCAATATTTTGCAATAAGTATTCTTGCTGCTGTTGTTGCATACATAAAAAAAATTCTGACCTTCTTTAACACCTTCTGGTCGACAATGCCTAAAAGGAAGGCCTCTGGTTTCTTAGGGAAGGTATACTTAAATACCTTTTTTAACTCATTGTAGATCATTTCCCAGAAGGCCTTTACTCTCGGACAGGTCCACCAAAGGTGAAAGAATGTTCCTTCAGTCTCCTTACATTTCCAACATTTATTATCATGCAAGTGGTGTATTTTTGCAAGCTTGACTGGGGTCATGTACCACCTATATATCATTTTCATAATATTTTCTTTCAAGGCATTACATGCCGTAAACTTTACACCGGTGGTCCATAACCTTTCCCAGTCAGCAAACATAATATTGTATCCAATATCCTGTGCCCATTTTATCATAGCTGATTTAACCGTTTCATCTTGTGTGTTCCATTTCAACAGCAAGTTATACATTCTTGAAAGTACCTTAGTCTTGGGTTCTAACAGTTCTGTTTCTAGTTTCGATTTTTCCACCTGGAATCCTATCTTGGACACAAACCAAAATAAAACACAAACTTCACATTTTGAATTTCCTTGGTGAACTGCAATACTCTCTGATGGGTCCCTATCTGAACAAGTGCTAACGTAAAATTAAATTTACACGGAGCATAAATAAAGTGACGTAAAACCTGACTTTTCTTGTTTAAAGAGTTACAGTGTTCTTGCTAAAGAGCTATTCTCGAATTGGCAGGACTTTGTTGCTTGCCCAGGCCTTTCTGCCCAGGGATGGGCCATCCCAGCTTTGCTTATTGCTAGAAATATAAGGCTTTCACTGTTCTTGGGGAAAGTTGAGAATTCAAATGGCAGGAAACAGGACAGGAAGCAAAAGTGTGTGCATCTGCATTCTGAACAACAGCCAGAACTTCACTTTTCTCTTTGTATTCACCCCAGTTGTTATAAATTAGCTTTTAATTTTTCCTATTTATTAGTACTTTGTTGAGTGTACTATGTTTTGACAGTTCAGATAAGATCAAAAGCTGGTAATGAATAGTGTTGGTTGTAAAGTGTGTGTTTAAGATAAAGGCCCTTTGTCATCTGAAAAAATGTTAATCTGCAAAATAGTAAGCTGCTCAAGGAGGTAAAAACCATATCTCGGCCAGAAAATTATTATGTCCTCTGTCAGAAGGGCAGACATTTTCCCAAGACATTTTTGCTTTTGACAAATGTAATTATCGAAAGGCTGCGTTTACAAAAATATTAAACAAAAAGGAGCTGTCTGAGTGGATGATGCACAGGGAGACATTGCCATGGCGCTGAAAGCATTCCAGGTAGAATGCAGATCCATACACTTTCCCTTCCTGTCTGCTATGCAGCTGCATAAATTTGTCCATACTTTTACAGCAAAATTAAATGTAATGCAAGAGATCCATGATCAGATCTCCCAGTTTCCTGGTTTTCTTAAAAGCAGCTAACAGGGAACCTCAAATTGCAGAAGCGGGGTTAATATTTTCCATCGATGTCTCTGTCCATCTGTCTCTCCCTCTCCCTCCCCCCCCACCTGTTATTTGTCCAGCTGGGGAAAACACAGGTGAAAACAGAATTAGATTTCCAGGAATGCTTCCATCTCTTCAAAATCTAAACAAAAGAACTGTTCTTTTAGACAACTAATGCAATTTTGAGGAGGAAACACAGTTTATCTTGCCTTCATTCTACCTAGAATGCCATGGTAATGTTTCACTGTACATCATCCACTCAGACAGCTCCTTTTTGTTTAATATTTTTGTAAACGCAGCCTTTTGATAATTATATTTGTCAAAAGCAAAAATGTCTTGGGAAAATGTCTGCGCTTCTGACAGAGGACATAATAATTTTCTGGCTTTTACCTCCTTGAGCAGCTTACTATTTTGCAGATTAACATTTTTTTTCGGATGACAAAGGGCCTTTATCTTAAACACACACTTTACACCCAACATTATTCATTACCAGCTTTTGATCCTATCTAAACTATCAAAACATGGTACACTCAACAAAGTACTAATATATGGGAAAAAATTAAAAGCTAATTTATAACAACAGAGGTGAATACAAAGAGAAAAGTGAAGTTCTGGCTGTTGTTCAGAATGAAGGCAAGATAAACTGTTTCCTCCTCAAACTTGCATTAGTTGTCTAAAAGACCAGTTCTTTTGTTTAGATTTTGAAGAGATGGAAGCACTCCTGGAAATGTAATTCTGTTTTCACCTGTGTTTTCCACAGCTGGATAAATAGCAGGTGTGTATGTGTGAGAAAGAGAGACAGAGACATGGATGGAAAATATTAACACCCCCCCTTTCTGCAATTTGAGGTTCCCTGTTAGCTGCTTTTAAGAAAACCAAGAAAATGGGAGATCTGATCAGGGATCTCTTACATTACATTTAGTTTTGCTGTAAAAGTGTGGACAAATCTATTGTCTGAATTAGATATACTTTGCTCTGAATTGGCGAGACAATTTACATGTTATAGAGAAACTCAGGGATTTAACTCACCTTTCTCAAAGTGTCCAGTACAACTTGAGAGGATGAAGAGGCTAACCTAGTCAAATTTATTTGCCTGTATTTTTATTTTGCAGGATATGGCAGTTTAATGTCAAACTTCGAGGTGATTTTATTCATTGAACAGTTTCTGATATTCCTGTTGTTGTTTTTACAGGTATTACTTTGTTTCTCTCGAGACACTTCAGTGTTGGAACACTTTGCGTACAATAGTGCTACTCCACCCAAGTCATACGTTCGAGGTAAAGAAACAAATATTTATTGATGGTATTTATAAAAGATTATTGTTGGTGACCAGCTTTGACTTCCGCTGGTGATCGTCAACGGCTGAGCAGGACTCAAAACCAGATTTCTCTGGTCCAGGTCTTAACACTACAATGCAAACTGTATTTGTGGCCCACCACAAATAACCTACTTTTGTGCTGCCTGCAAAAACAGGTGGATTTTTTAATTGGCTTTTTTGTTGCAGAGGTTGAGTACTTGGCAGCAAAGCCGGTAGGCTACATTCGGGGTGGCAAGTCTTGTGTTGCGCAAGTCTGACAAAGAGCGGGACTAGACATTATGTGTAGTTCTGTGTTTCTTTCTCCAGGCTTTGCCTCCTTCTATATACTGAGGTTGCAATTTGAAGCTGAAGACCAGGGGAAGAGGGTCATTCTAATCGTTCCCTCTTGCAGTGCTTTTCTCCTGACAAGTCTCACCCACTGATACTGTTATCCCTGCGGAGGGAAAAAATAACATGTACCCATACTTTTTTTGATAGTGACTGTAAAGGCAGCTGGCTGTGTGTTTGTGCTTTCTTTTCAGTTGCCTACATGTGAGGCAGTTCAATACTTTAAATAGCTGTACTGTATAATAGGATTTCTCTCCCCGCCATAAAAGTAGGAAGTCTACAAATGTATATTTCCTGGCCAACAGAAGGCTTGTGACTTTGTGCCCAACTGTTACTGCATTTTAAAAATGCTAATTATGTTTTATAATACAGCTTTAAAAAAATTCCTACAGGATTCAATGGTGCGGATTGGATTTTCACTGCTAAACATTCTGCACATGAACAGTATTTATGAAAGATTGATTGATTAATTGATTGAATTTATATACCGCCCTATAGTAGGAGGTTTCAGGGCGGTTCACAGAAAAGATGAAACAGATCAAAAGCACCACTAGAGAGCATTTTCATCTACCATAAAACCTACCATGACTGTCATCTTTTACATTCTCTCCAGATCGCATCATAGGTCCCTGCTTAACTTCAGAGAGAAAATGACCCTATTTTAAAATTCATGTAGGCATATGCTAAAACAGCAGTTTCACTCAAATAATGCTTCTGCGCTCTAGATTTAAATGGGTTTGATCCTCTCAAAGCAAAGCACTTTTTAAGTCCTGCTAATTTCTTTTAAGCCTTACGGATACTAGGCTGAAGGGATGGGGGAGAGGGAATGACGCTTGGCTTTGTCATGGAAATCTGTCTTCACAGAAAGCGAAGGCAGGAAGGCAGTTTTGTATTGTGCTGGGTAGAACAGCCTAAGATTCTCTTCTCTTTCCAGTAGAAGGTCTCAGCTGATTCCCCCCCCCCAAAAAAAAACCCAACAACCATGGTGTGCTCTGTTCCCCTTGATGCCTTGAGAGAAAAAGTGGTGGCCCTTTAACTGAATGGGCAGCAGAGTTTTCACCACTTTTTGCTCCCTTCCCTTGCTCTGCCTGATGTGACCCAGGGCAGAAATGATCAGGACCTCACACTTCCTTTCCCTGTCATAACAACTGCATGGAACTTTAATTTGACCAGGGAAGTGGGGTTGCAAAGAGGGCTTCGTCCTTTTCTTCTTAGCCCTGATATATGGCATTTTCCTTCAGAAGCTCATTTGGGTGAAGAGGGAAATGGAGGCAGGTTTGGGTCCCTTATCTCTGCGCTGCCATGGAGAGAGTATGCCAAAAGGAGTCAGCTTTTCCCTTCACTTAACGCTGAGCAACTGAGCAACCGCAGGTTCAAATCCTAGCTACAAAGGAAATGTGATGGGAAAGATCCATGATGAGGATTTCCCAGAGACCTTTTTACTCCAAAGTTGCTGCATCAGCTGCTAGTTTAACTGCGATTGTGGGAGGGATGTTTAACTCCCTTCCCATCTCCGAAATAGATATGAAGAAGGATAATTACAGCAGGGAAATGCCATAGAAAGAAAGCGTTAAGCACCCAGTGATAGTTTGCCAGTCAAACTACCAGCCTCACACGACTGTTTTAAATTAAATCTACCTATCTATGAGAGAACCGAACCATCAATCACATCCGCTTTGGTGCTCAGTATTTGAACTGTTGTTGCTAAATAGCAAGTAAAGTGAGAAAATCACTCACTCACTTGGTCTGTGAGCTGCCCTGAGACCTCCAGGTACAGTGGTACCTCGGGTTACGTACACTTCAGGTTACATATGCTTCAGGTTACAGACTCCGCTAACCCAGAAATAGTACCTTGGGTTAAGAACTTTGCTTCAGGATGAGAACAGAAATCATCCAGCGGCGCGACGGCAGCAGGAGGCCCCATTAGCTAAAGTGGTGCTTCAGGTTAAGAACAGTTTCAGGTTAAGAACGGACCTCCGGAACGAATTAAGTACTTAACCCGAGGTACCACTGTATAGGGTGGTATATAAAATCAATCAATCAATCAATCCTGTCCAACTTGCTTGTCTGCATGCAAAGTCAGAAATGGAGAGCAGGATTGTTTCCCCAAAATTCATATTAAGAAATCCAATAGGTGGCTGTTAAAAGTTTGAGTAAGACATGTTTCACGTATTTGCATAGATCTCATTCATTGTTCGTTCTTTTAGAAGATTATTTTGTAGATTGGTCTGTTTTACAGCTCTGTAGCGTTACACCATAGGGACGCGGGTGGCGCTGTGGGTTAAACCACAGAGCCTAGGACTTGCCGATCAGAAGGTCGGCGGTTCGAATCCCCGCGACGGGGTGAGCTCCCGTTGCTTGGTCCCTGCTTCTGCCAACCTAGCAGTTCGAAAGCACGTCAAAGTGCAAGTAGATAAATAGGTACCTCTCCGGCGGGAAGCTAAACGGTGTTTCCGTGTGCTGCTCTGGTTTGCCAGAAGCGGCTTAGTCATGCTGGCTACATGACCCGGAAGCTGTACGCCAGCTCCCTCGGCCAATAAAGCGAGATGAGCGCCGCAACCCCAGATTCGGCCACGACTGAACCTTATGGTCAGGGGTCCCTTTACCTTTACTAGCGTTACACCATAATCATTCCTAATTTCCCACTGCCATTTCACTTTCTCAACTGTATCAGATCTACATTTTCAATTTGGAAAAGTCTTTGTTCTCTTCCCCTACGTCTGTTACTTACTCTTTTCCATTGACTGTTCTTTTCACAGGGAAACTTGGCATGGAAGAATATGCTGTCTTTTATCCGCCAAATGGTAAAACAGTTATCCTGTTGCCTCCTCTAGTGGGGAAAGGGGAAACTGCAGTAATTTCTAAGACCACGAATTCTCCTGATTTATGTAACGGACAACTGGAAATACAACAGGCTTTGACAGGAAGGGGTTTCCCTCTTCTCTTAGAGAATTGACCATGTTTTATCATGTTCTAGCCACTGTTTGGGCATGCTTAATCCCACCGTTGTCTTTGGCTGAGCCTATTTTGCATATGCTGTAGTACAATTTTTACAGCACGAGCTGCCCTTTCTGCCACTAGCTCATGGTTTGGAGTTGGAAGTCTGTGGGAGCGGGCTTGCTGAACCCATTCCCAACTCACCATGCGATTTGCATTAGTTGCAAGTGAGTTGCACAATTTGCAGACTGGGCCACCTGTATTTGGGGGACTGGAATACGGCAGCCCTGCGCTAAGACCTTCTAGCAGTTGGTCCCTTACCTTTCCCGCCCCGACCTGGCCACAGTGATCCATGCGATGGTCACCTCCAGGCTTGACTACTGTATATCGCTCTACGCGGGGCTGCCCTTGAAGCTGTCCCAGAAACTCCAGCGGGTGCAGAATGCTGCAGTGAGGCTCCTCACAGGGTCTCTGCCATGGGAGCATATTCACCCGGTGCTTTTCCAGCTGCACTGGGTCCCGGTGGAGTACAGGGTCAGATAGAAGGTGCTGATTTTGACCTTTAAAGCCCTTCACGGCCTAGGACCCTTGTACCTACGGGACCGCCTCTCCCGGTATGCCCCACAGAGGACCTTAAGGTCCATATATAGCAACAGCCTAGAGGTCCCGGGCCCTAAGGAAGTTAGATTAGCCTCAACCAGAGCCAGGGCCTTCTCAACACTGGCTCCGGCCTGGTGGAACGCTCTGTCTCTTGACACCAGGGCCCTGCGGGATCTGATCTCTTTCCGCAGGGCTTGTAAGACAGATTTGTTCCACCTGGCCTTTGGCTCAGAATCAGTTTGATTCCCTCCCCCTTTTTCTTTTTCCTTTCTCCTCCTATGATGAGATTGCTCCCTAATTGTTTTAATATTGTATCTTAATCTTTCAAATTGTATTTTAATCAACTTGTTTGTATTATTGGTTGTTAGCCGCCCTGAGCCTGGTCTTGGCTGGGGAGGGTGGGGTATAAATAAAAAAAATATTATTATTATTATTATTAGCGATGGTGCTGCAGCAGAAGGAGAAGAGGTGCCTTTGCAAGGCAGTATAATACAATCCCAGACAAACAGCACCAACACATCCTTAGAACTCCTTCACAGTTGAACTGTCATGAGTGGCTCCACTTCTGAGTTTTCGGTAGGGAACCAGGCAGAGGGCCTTCTTGGTGGTGGCACCCTCCCTGTGGAACGCCCTCCCATAAGATGTCAGGCAGATAAACCACTTCTAGAATACATCTGAAGGCAGTCCTGTTCAGAGAAGTTTCTAGTGTTTGACATTTTGTTATTTTTTAGATTTTGCTGGAAGCCGCCCAGAGTGGCTGGGGAAACCCAGACAGATGGGCGGAGTATAAACAATAAAATTATTATTATTATTCCTCCTAATTGCAGTGGGAAGTGCAAGACACAGAGAGAACACTGTGTGTCTGCATGTGCAGCGAGTGTATGCGGTGAACATATATGTGCAATGATTGTGTGCACATTGTTGACATGCAGCTCTTAGAGGGGTGGCTAACTTTACATTTGGCCGTGGCCTCAAAAAAGCCATCAACTCCGAACTAAAAGAAGCCTGCAGAATTTCTGACCCTTTACATTGAACGCAGCTCGCCAACCATCTGTTGTTAGGCTTGTAAGGCCTTCTGTTTTTGGCATTTGAAGAAGGAGATTTTATTGAGCCACTGGTTAGCCTCTGATTTATGATTGCTAACCAGTGGCTTTTTTTTTATGGCTTTTGTCATCGGTTGGGTATACTTTTGTCTGGGGTTTTTTCCCTTACAAAGCATAAAGAACTGTGGAATCATGAACAATCCTCACAGTAAACTGGAATATCTCTGTTTTGCAGGTGTAATCCCTTTCCATGGCTTTTCGATGTACGGTAAGTGGCTCTTCAATACTAGCACTGGAGCTAAAAATTGGAAGTTTGATTAATTGAATAAGTAAGTCAGTTTATATTGTTGCAATATCATATCTGTCTGTGTTTATCATACCTGGAGGTTTGGTGGAGATTAAGTTGGATTGCTGGTCTTAGTTCCAGCATTTCAGTAGGTGGGATTTTCTGGAGAATGGGGCCAGGGAGTTGTTTGAGCTGTCAGGCTCCTATGTTTGGCTTGCATCTCATAGCCTTAGGATTCGGGGAATTTTTGGCAAGTAATGGGGCCTGTTGTTCATCGGAGGAAGAAGAGCCTTCTTCCACATTCTTCCCCTGCCCAGGAGGCTAATTCTGATTTTTTATTAATTTTTCAATTGTTGCTGTTCTTCTTCTTAATTAAATGTTAGTCACTTTATTTTGCCCAAGATACCGTATTTTTCGTCCCATAGGACGCTCCGTCCCATAGGACGCACCTAGTTTTTTGGGGGGGGAATAAAGGGGGGGGATTTCCTTTATTTCCCCCCCAAAAGCAGGTCGGGGAAACCGAACCAGGTCGAGGAACAGCAGGATGGCAGCGCTGCGCCTCCCTGCTGTCCCCCGAGCTTGTGGGGCTGGCTGATGTCTGCCCGGTGCGAGGGGCGCTCTGCTTCAGGGCGCCCAGCCCGCCGGGCGGCAGGCTGCTATCTGCAGCGTGGGGAGCCCTGCGTGGAACTCCCGCAGGGCTGCCTAGGCTGCGGAGGTGTTCCCGAAGCGCCGGGCGCTCTGCTTTCCGGGCGCCCAACGCTCCGGGAAGCAGGCTGCTATCTGCAGCCTAGACAGCCCTGCGGGACCTCCCACAGGGCTGCCTAGGCTGTGGATGTGTTCCCGAAGCGCCAGGCGCTCTGCTTTCAGGGCGTCCGACGCTCCGGGAAGCAGGCTGCTATCCACAGCCTAGACCGCCCTGCGGGACCTCCCGCAGGGCTGCCTAGGCTGTGGATGTCTTCCTGAAGCCTGGAGAGCAAGAGGGGTCCAAGCTTCAGCGAAAGCCTGCATTCGCCCCATAGGACGCACCCAGATTTCCCCTTCATTTTTGGAGGGGGAAAAGTGCGTCCTATAAGGCGAAAAATACGGTAACTCAAAGCAACTTACAACCAAAGAAGTAACCAACCAAACATCCCCACCACATAGATACATTAAAATGAAGGTTAAAAAATACATTTAAAACACCCAACTAACTTCTAAAAGGCCACAGATAGTTAAAGGCCACAGGCCTAGTTGTAGAAGAAAGTTCTTGTCTGGTGTATAAAGAGATATAATAATGGTGTCAGGTGAGCCTCCCTGGAAAGAACTGTTCACAAACAGGGAGCCACCACAGAAAAGTTTGATTAATTGAATAAGTAAGTCAGTTTATATTGTTGCAATATCATATCTGTCTGTGTTTATCATACCTGGAGGTTTGGTGGAGATTAAGTTGGATTGCTGGTCTTAGTTCCAGCATTTCAGTAGGTGGGATTTTCTGGAGAATGGGGCCAGGGAGTTGTTTGAGCTGTCAGGCTCCTATGTTTGGCTTGCATCTCATAGCCTTAGGATTCGGGGAATTTTTGGCAAGTAATGGGGCCTGTTGTTCATCGGAGGAAGAAGAGCCTTCTTCCACATTCTTCCCCTGCCCAGGAGGCTAATTCTGATTTTTTATTAATTTTTCAATTGTTGCTGTTCTTCTTCTTAATTAAATGTTAGTCACTTTATTTTGCCCAAGATACCGTATTTTTCGTCCCATAGGACGCTCCGTCCCATAGGACGCACCTAGTTTTTTGGGGGGGGAATAAAGGGGGGGGATTTCCTTTATTTCCCCCCCAAAAGCAGGTCGGGGAAACCGAACCAGGTCGAGGAACAGCAGGATGGCAGCGCTGCGCCTCCCTGCTGTCCCCCGAGCTTGTGGGGCTGGCTGATGTCTGCCCGGTGCGAGGGGCGCTCTGCTTCAGGGCGCCCAGCCCGCCGGGCGGCAGGCTGCTATCTGCAGCGTGGGGAGCCCTGCGTGGAACTCCCGCAGGGCTGCCTAGGCTGCGGAGGTGTTCCCGAAGCGCCGGGCGCTCTGCTTTCCGGGCGCCCAACGCTCCGGGAAGCAGGCTGCTATCTGCAGCCTAGACAGCCCTGCGGGACCTCCCACAGGGCTGCCTAGGCTGTGGATGTGTTCCCGAAGCGCCAGGCGCTCTGCTTTCAGGGCGTCCGACGCTCCGGGAAGCAGGCTGCTATCCACAGCCTAGACCGCCCTGCGGGACCTCCCGCAGGGCTGCCTAGGCTGTGGATGTCTTCCTGAAGCCTGGAGAGCAAGAGGGGTCCAAGCTTCAGCGAAAGCCTGCATTCGCCCCATAGGACGCACCCAGATTTCCCCTTCATTTTTGGAGGGGGAAAAGTGCGTCCTATAAGGCGAAAAATACGGTAACTCAAAGCAACTTACAACCAAAGAAGTAACCAACCAAACATCCCCACCACATAGATACATTAAAATGAAGGTTAAAAAATACATTTAAAACACCCAACTAACTTCTAAAAGGCCACAGATAGTTAAAGGCCACAGGCCTAGTTGTAGAAGAAAGTTCTTGTCTGGTGTATAAAGAGATATAATAATGGTGTCAGGTGAGCCTCCCTGGAAAGAACTGTTCACAAACAGGGAGCCACCACAGAAAAGGTCCATTCTTGTGTTGCTGCCCTTGGGATCGCTCATGGAGGGAGCACACAAGGGCTTCAGGTGATGATCACAGGTTCTGGGGTGGTTCATATTTTGCAACCAGGTTGGGGTTGCATGGAAGTACCTACCTATGGATAGTATTTATCTGGCTACCCCAGTTTCTTCACTGGTTATTTTACCAAATAAATAAATACAGTGGTACCTCGGGTTAAGTACTTAATTCATTCTGGAGGTCTGTTCTTAACCTGAAACTGTTCTTAACCTGAAGCACCACTTTAGCTAATGGGGCCTCCTGCTGCCACCGCACGATTTCTGTTCTCGTCCTGAAGCAAAGTTCTTAACCTGGAGCACTATTTCTGGGTTAGCGGAGTCTGTAACCTGAAGCGTATGTAACCTGAGGTACCACTGTAAGTAAATTTGTGTGACTTTGTATGTGCAACCCACACATTGGTCCTGATTAACAGCATTGTGCCTTCAAGCAAATCTGTCTCAACTGTGAGACTGGCATTCCCAAAGTAATCACATGTTTAAAGTGGCCTGTTGTTATTCCACTTGTCAATAAAAAGGCAATACTTGAATAACTGTTAAGAAAAGACACGATTATTCCATAGCTGCGGCTGCATTAACATGCGTATTGTTCTTATTTCTACCTCCACAAAGAACTGGTGTTTGTTCAGAATATTCAGGTTTTGTTTGACATGCATCTTGTGATTTTAACAAGTAGTGGTGTTGTGGTAACAAATGTCTTTTATCCTTTCAGTCGCTCCGCTTTGTTTCCTGTATAACGAACCTTCCAAGCTGTATCAGATGTTTCGCGAAATATACGTGCGCTATTTCTTCCGACTTCATTCCATCTCTTCTCACCCGTCCGTAAGTTTGCTTTGAACAAATCTGAACCTGCAAAACGCAACGAACTAAAATATGCCTGTCTCTTTTTACCGTGCCTGTTCTAAAAACTCAGGACCGCTGTCTATGCAAACCTTCGCTTTGTTTGACATGTACAAAAATATTTTAAAATGTAGACCTCTGTGTTGATAAAATCTCTTGCGTATTATATATGAACGTACAAGACAGCTTTATACTGTCATATTATTGGCCTGTTTCATAGGGATAATAGAATCACAAGTGTTGGAAGAGACCCTGAGGATCATCTAGTCCAACCCCCTGCAATGCATGAACATTGTGATAGGAATTTTGAGGTCTTAGATATATGTTAAATGTTCATAAGTGTACCAACCAAGCACATACATAGATCAGTACAGCAAGACCGACCTGGACCATTTTGATTTTCAAACTGTCCCAAACTGACCAAACGTTTTTTCTGCAATGTCAAAGGAAAATGGAAAAGCCTCCCCATTGTCTTTTCCTTCACAAATCCTGTCTTAAGGACACATTTAAGATATGAATAGGGTGTGAGCCTGTGACCTGGTCCAGGTACTAAGTATTTATCATTACAAAAGATTGGCCAGGCTCCCCAGGCAATCCAATCAATTAACCTGCCAGACAGGAGATAAACAACAACAGGAGAAAAACAACATTCAAATTTCTGTTTTAAGACTGCCTTTTCTGTGATGTAGGTACGATGTATCTGAGGGGTGGTCTTAGGTTACACCCCTTCTGTGATGTATGTATGATGTTTCTGGGGGTGGTCTTGATCTACAGGGTGGCAATTTCAAAAGTCCTTATAAGGCCTTGTGCGCCATTGTTCTGGGTTCCTCCTCCTCTCCTTCCGGTGAGGGGAGCACCCTGTTGCAACAGATCAATAAAGATCAAGCTTACTAGCTGCTTTGCTTCTCAATATTCTCTGGTTGGCCTCTGTTATTCTCTCCTACCAATAGGGAACCTATGTAAGGACTCTATATGGGCTCTTGGATACCCCATAAGGGAAAAGGGCAATTTTTGTTTACAACAACATGCAGGTGTCCCTTTTAGGGATCGAACCTGCAACCTTGGTGTAAACCATGCTCTAGCCAACTGAGCTATAGAAGCAACAGTTTAAAGCCTCAGCTGGATGTCTTTTCCAATCCTGCTGAGATTCTTCAACTAGAGATCTGGAGTTTGAACCTGCGACCTAATAATAATAATAATAATAATAATAATAATAATAATTTATTATTTATACCCCGCCCATCTGGCTGGCTTTCCCCAGCCACTCAGGGCAGCTTTCAGCAGAATATTAAAATACAATCTATCATGTCATTTTGCATGCAAAACAATGCTACCATGTGTCGGTTTAAAAGGCAAACACATTTCTTGCGGCCTGAGCTTTTTTTGAGCTAGGGTCCACTTTGTGAGATTTGTAAAGCATTGTAAAAAAAAAATGACAGATGTATACGTACAGGGATAGAAAAGAATTTCAGAAATGGGAGTGAGTTTGGAAACGAAGTCTCGCAGTCCTTGGGTCATGTTCAACCGCGGCTAAAGTACTGAGCCTTCAATGACAACATCCTCTTCAGTTTGAGATTGTAATTTAATTACCTGATGCAAAATTACCCAGGTTAATTTTATCCAGGGTTAACGGGAGTTGCTTGCGACTTAAAACCTAGGCAGGGAGAAAGGTGTTATGTCTGAATCGGACCAGAGTGTTTCCCACACATTAAATGTCCTGGAGAAGTTTGATATTTTCTATCCAGGGGATTAACTTAGGTCGGCTCTGGGAGGGATTCAAATGAGTTTTTGCGTTCATGGAACAAGATTCACCCCTCCCTTTGTGTGTTGCCACAACCCCTAAATCTGCTCTGGAGCATTGGGAGAATTTCCAGCACAGGTTTATGGGGTACACAGTGAGAAGATAGGGAGGAAAAGCCCGGGGGGGGCGATTATTGAGTTACAGTGGTACCTCGCAAGACGAATGCCTTGCAAGACAAAAAACTCGCTAGATGAAAGGGTTTTTTGTTTTTTGAGCTGCTTCGCAAGACGATTTTCCCTATGGGCTTGCTTCGCAAGACGGAAACGTCTTGCAAGTTTGTTTCCTTTTTCTTAACACCGTTAATACAGTTGTGACTTGACTTCGAGGAGCAACTCATAGAACGTGGTGTGGTAGCCTTTTTTGAGGTTTTTAAAGACTTTGGTGATTTTTGAAGCTTTTCCAAAACTTTCCCAACACCCTGCTTCGCAAGACGAAAAAAATCGCAAGACGACAAAACTCGCGGAACGAATTAATTTTGTCTTGCGAGGCACCACTGTATTTTTGTTATTGCTATGTTTTTTATTTTATTTTATTTTAGAGTTTTATTTATTTATTAATGTTCTTATGTTGCATCGGTAAACATTATCATATTACAAGGCTTATTATAATATAATTTTCAGCATGTATACAAAGTTTATATACCTAAAAGGGGGGGGAACAAGGACAAAAAACTATTCCAAAATCATATATGTACCAACACTTTGGACTTCCTGTCTATCCCGTTGTATATTCCTTTTTTTACAAATGAATGTACTCTTATTATTGTATATTTCTTTACATTTTACCAAATACATTCCTATATCAATATGTACCCTTGGCCTTATTTCTCAACTCAGTCTGTCTCCAACGTCAATCGAATGCTAGCATAGATAGCGAATCTTTAACATACCTCTTATATCTGTCCCACTTTTCCATAAATTTTTGTTTTGAATTGCCTCTCAGGCTATTTGTCAACTGCGCCATTTCAGCAAATTCTTGTAGCTTGTTATGCCAATCGGTTATTGTCGGGACTTCTTCTTCCTTCCACCCCTTTGCCACCAAAGTTTTTGTTATGTAGTTTATGTTTTTATATTGTGATTTTATGTTGTAGCTGCCCTGAGACCTGCAGGTATAGGGAGGTATACACATTTATTTAATTAATTATTATTATTATTAATAATAATAATAATAGCAGCTCAGTGACAGAGTGACACAAGCTCACTTTATCAAATCTTACTGTACTACTTTGACTTGTTATATGTATGTTTTCAATCTATGCATGAACTACATTGGGTATTTTTTCACTATCTATATTTAAAACTCAGTAGTAGTAAGAGGTACACTTGTTGTATAGTTGTGCTTTTTTAAAAAGTGAATTATTATACTCTTTCTTTTTTAAAGGGCATTGTATCATTATGTTTGCTGTTTGAAACCCTTCTCCAAACCCATCTACCACAGCTGTTTTATCACCTTCGAGAAATTGGAGCACAACCGTAAGTATTTTCCCTTATATTTAAAAACTTGACACCATCGTCATCATATTTGCATGCCACCTTTCTGTAGTTAAACCCATGCTCGAGGCAGCTTACAACTTGAAAAGGTTTACTAAATTACAAATACAGTGGTACCTTGGTTCTCAAACTTAATCCGTTCCGGAAGTCCGTTCCAAAACCAAAGCGTTCCAAAACCAAGGCGTGCTTTCCCATAGAAAGTAATGCAAAATGGATTAATCCGTTCCAGACTTTTAAAAAGAACCCCTAAAACAGCAATTTAACAGGAATTTTACTATCTAATGAGGCCATTGATCCATAAAATGAAGGCAATAATCAATGTGCTGTACTATAAAATAAATAAGACAGTATTGTAGATGATAAAAATGTAAAAAAATATTTTCCTTATCTGCACTGAAGATAGTCATTGTTTGGATGGGGGCTTTTATCCATTTCCACAATCGCACAATCAATCAATCAATCAATCAATCAGTAGCTGAACTGGGTTCCACGTGGTCACAAAAACAAATGAACTGAAAAAGCCTCAAAAACAAAAAATGCAAAATAAATACCAAAAACAAAAGCACCAAATATAAGCTCCAAATATCACCTCAGAACACTGCAATCGGAAACAGATGGGTTGAATTACAATGGGGGGACGCAAATCAGCAGTGCAATGGTAGAAACAAAAGCTCAGGACTCAAAACGGAGCACGTTCGACTTTTGAAGCAAAGTTTGCAAACCAGAACACAGACTAAGCTGTTCGAAAACCGAGGTACCACTGTATAACATAACTAGTCATAAACAATAAATAAAACACATAAAAAGTACACAACCAAACTGAACAATTTGGACCTCAAGCTGGCAAAAATTTATCATCTGCCCGATAACAAATGTTGGAAGTGTAAAGAGACTGAAGGTACCTTCTACCACCTTTGGTGGACATGCCCGAAGATTAAGGCCTTCTGGGAAATGATCTATAATGAAATCAAAAAGGTACTCAAATGTACCTTCTCGAAAAAACCAGAGGCCTTTCTCTTGGGCATTGTCGGCCAATTGGTGACAAAGAGGGATAGAACTTTCTTTATGTACGCTACAACAGCAGCAAGAATACTCATCGCAAAGTATTGGAAGACTCAAGATCTACCCACTCTGGAAGAATGGCAGATGAAAGTGATGGACTATATGACATTGGCCGAGATGACAGGCAGAATCCGTGACCAACGAAAAGAGACGGTGGAAGAAGAATGGAGAAAATTTAAAAGTTATCTTAAGGACTACTATAAACTTAATGAATGCTAAAATGTTGTGGTTTCCAGAAACAAAGGGATACAGGGATATAAGGTTAGAAATATAAAAAAGGACTAAGAAGATAGAGATTGGAAAATAACAATTGGGAGTTGCTAGTTGAACTATGGACACTGGGATGCAGAGAGGGGGGGTATGGGGAAGTCAAAGGAAAGAGGTTTATGAAAATATGTTTGAAACTATACGTGTATGTTTGTCATTTTTGGTGTTTGTTTGTTTTTTGTTTAAAAAAGTTTCTAAAACCAATAAAAATTTTATAAAAAACAACAAACAAACTGAACAATTTCCACATCAATCATAATAAGTTATAAAGATGAAAAAATGGTACCAATAATAGCAAGAAAAGCCCCCAAGAAAACTCCCTAAACAATAAAAGTAAATATTTTATATTTTGACACCAACATGGGAAAACTCATTTAGCGACTTTAAACTCCTATAGCAATTTAGCTGAGAAGGTGCTAAATACAGTCAAACCTCGGATCCTGAACGCCTCCGTTTTGGAACATTTTGGCTCCTAAACGCCGAAAACCCAGAAGTAAATGTTCCGGTTTTCAAACGTTTTTGGGAAGCTGAACGTCCGACGCGGCTTTCGCTTGAGTGCAGGAAGCTCCTGCAACCAATCAGAAGCCACACCTCGGTTGTCGGAACATTTCAGAAGCTGAACAGGCTTCCGGAACGGATTACGTTCGACAACCGAGGTTTGACTGTATTCGGAATGTCCTAAAAATGATCGATCCTTCCTTATTTAGGAGACCACTGTAAGCAGATGAAAACATTATCAGGATTCTAATAACACTTGTAATGTAACAAACACTATGGACTGATACAAAATATAGATTGTGAAATAATATGCAGTTGAAAATGTTGACAATAGGACCCAGGGAGGGGCTGGTGGGAAATCTCGAGATTCAGAGAAATCTCTTTATATGGATATGCATTTGGTATTGTTATAACTTTACACTTATAAAATCAAATGAAAACGATATACCATATTTTTTCGTGTATAACACCCCCCCGTGTATAAGACGCTCCCTATTTTTGAAAACTCAAAATTAAGAAAATGGGGGGAGATTGCCCCCGTGCATAAGACGCACACACATTTCCCCTCTTTTTAACATTATTTTTAGTAAAAAAAACAACACCCTAGTATTATACACGGAAAAGTACAGTACCGTATTTTTCGCCCTATAGGACGCACTTTTCCCTCTCCAAAAATGAAGGGGAAATGTGTGTGCGTCCTATGGGGCGAATGCAGGCTTTCGCTGAAGCCTGGAGAGCGAGAGGCATCGGTGCGCACCGACCCCTCTCGCTCTCCAGGCTTCAGGAAGCTATTCGCAAGTCTTGCGAGCCCGGGGGAGTTCCCGCGGGCTTGCGGGCAGCAGCCTGCAGCCCGGATCACGGGGTGCCCTCCGGAGGGCGCCCCGTGCTTCGGGAAGGTGTCCGCAAGTCTTGTGCTTCCGGCGGGAGGTCCCGCCGGGCTCGCAAGGCTTGCAGGCAGTAGCCTGTTCTGGGGTCGGGGGAAGCTCAGGGGGGGAAATAATTTTTTTTCTTTATTCCCCCCCCAAAAAAAAACCTAGGTGCGTCCTATGGGGCAGTGCGTCCTATAGGGCGAAAAATACGGTATGTCATTCCTCCCAGCAGTGTCTAACTCGTTGGGATCCACTACTGAATCAAAGTCTAATGAGGGTAGGAACACCAGAAATATCACAATTCAAATACAGGCTAAAAAATTAAGAAGCGGGTCCCAAAACACGTTTTTTGGGTTAAAGATGTTTTTTCAGGTCTGAAAAAGTTAAAGACTCCTGCTTCAAGGTACAAACTCAGAGTAACAAAAATCAAGGTTGACATCTTTGCTTACCTGCGTGGAGACACAAAACATTTGCTGTTACCCTAAGGGGAATGCATTTACAATTGATGCTAAACAGTACTTTCTTTTTCAATTTTGAATATTGAAATACTGTTAAGCTCAAGAAGCAGATAGCAAATAGATTCTGAATTAATGAACTGAGTGTATCATGCCAGATTTAGCATTAAGAAGAATTACTTTCTTTAGTTGGCTTTGGCTTTAGCTGCGCTCTTTTCCGTTTAAGGCTCAGAAATCCACATAAGCACATCTAAGTCAAAAGGCAAATCCACTGTGATTGTATGTTATGGGGAAATATAATAGTGTGTGTTTCTTTCCACTCATAGTCTAAGGATATCATTTAAATGGATGGTACGAGCATTCTCCGGCTACTTAGCTACAGATCAGCTTCTTCTTTTGTGGGACAGAGTTCTGGGATACAACTCTCTGGAAATTCTTGCTGGTAATGAAAACATATTTTGTTGATGGTATTGACATTCTCCCTTTTTAAAGAAAAATGATATCAACACAAGAGGCTTCAGTTTCCTCGTGTGCAATTGCATGGTTTCAGTAGCTTTTCATTGTGTGACCTCCGACTCAGTGTCTTAAAACTTAGAATTTTGGAAACGGAGAGTGGCTGGGCCTCTGTCCTGTTCACTCCTGCTATTCTGAGAACTGGCATAAAAGTAAAGGGACCCCTGACCATTAGGTCCAGTCATGGCCGACTCTGTGGTTGTGGCGCTCATCTAGCTCTATAGGCCGAGGGAGCCGGCGTTTGTCCGCAGACAGCTTCCGGGTCATGTGGCCAGCATGACTAAGCCGCTTCTGGCAAACCAGAGCAGCACACAGAAACGCCGTTTACCTTCCCACCGGAGCGGTCCCTATTTATCTACTTGCACTTTGACGTGCTTTCAAACTGCTAGGTTGGCAGGAGCAGGGACCAAGCAACGGGAGCTTCGAACTGCCGACCTTCTGATTGGCAAGCCCTAGGCTCTGTGGTTTAGACCATAGCGCCACCCGTGTCCCGTTTATAATACAAATACTAATACCACTCATTCAAATACTGCTTTATATAATTTAGGTAGTCCCCCGCGTGCTAGATTTAATGGTGTGATGATTTTCTTTATTTCTGCGTTGCAGAAGCTTATTAATTTCAATTATATTCTGGTCAAAATAATAATCCCTTATACAACAGCTGCAATATTAATAACTTCTATTCGTGTTGACACATGATTTATAGAACTACAAGTAAGGCAAATATCACATTAAGAAATTCTTAATATATTTATTCTGTTGAGCACTTTAAGTGACTTTCTCGTACGTCTTTTCTTTAAAACGAAACTGTCACAAATTGACTAGAATGGCGCATTTAAGCTGGCTATATAGTATTTCCCAAACTAAGTATTACTGAATTGAACGTAAAGAATAGCTAGACCAAAATATCTGTAGCAACTAATTAGTAGGCCGCCAGTCTAAATATTGTGCATTCTTTTTCAGTCCTGGCAGCTGCTGTGTTTGCTTTCCGAGCTGTGAATCTAATGGAGGTGACATCACTGGCTGCAGCTGAAGTAAGGATAAGTTTCAGTGGGAGAAAATGGAAATAGTTTGTGACATCTTGCCAACCACAGTAATTTAAGCTCCGTGTGCACATAGCATGCAATGTGAGGCTCTCTGCTGAAATTCTTATCACGGCTAAATATTCAAAGGAAGTTATGAAAATATATGGATGAAGCTCATGATACTCCTATGACAAATACAAAGGAGAATGTTTAAACTGGGTTATAAACACGATGAAATAATTGAATTATTTTTTTTCAATTACACTTAGGGCCTTTCATATACTTTGAGTGTACGCTTTTTAAAATATGCACCACGGTTCTGAGAGGTATGATAGAGAAATTCCTAAATCTACTTTAGGGCAATACTTTTATTAGGCCAACCAAAGCGTGCAAGTTTTCGAGTTCTGCTGAACTTCAGTCAGGGCAGAGGCTGAACAAGGCAAGAGGAGAGGATAGAAATTGGCTGGTGGTGAAGCTCTGAATCTTCATCTGCTAATAGCCTTCCAGAATATTGGAGGAAGTAGCAAGTGTTCAGATGAGGCTTTCTCCCTCGTTGCTTTGTTTTACCATCTAGCCTGATAAAGGCTATTTTGGGACATGTTAGTTGCCTTAATAAATGGTAAAGGTAAAGGGACCCCTGACCATTAGGTCCAGTCATGGCTGATTCTGGGGTTGCGGCGCTCATCTTGCTTTATTGGCCGAGGGAGCCAGCGTACAGTTTCCAGGTCATATGGCCAGCATGACTAAGCCGCTTCTGGTGAACCAGATCAGCACACGGAAACGCCGTTTACCTTCCCGCCGGAGCGGTACCTATATATCTACTTGCACTTGACGTGCTTTCAAACTGCTAGGTTGGCAGGAGCAGGTGCCGCGCAACGGGAGCTCACCCCGTCACAGGGATTCGAACCGCCAACCTTCTGATTGGCAAGTCCTAGGCTCTGTGGTTTAACCCACAGCGCCACCTGCATCCCTTAATAAATGGTACTGCCCTAATAATAGATTTTGGAACCCTTTTCCTGGGCCAACATGACTACTTTTTAACTTTTTTTGGGGGGGAAATATGTTTACTACAAACCATTTCTGCTATGTGTAGATTTTCAAAAGACACTCTCACGGTGCAGTTCTAAACACCTGCTCAGAAGTAACCTTACTTCTCGCAGTGCGGGAACCGCCAGAAGGCCCTCAGAGCTGGACCTCAGTGTCCGGACTGAACGATGGGGGTGGAGACGCTCCTTCAGGTATACTGGGCTGAGGCCGTTTAGGACTCTAAAGGTCAGCACCAACACTTTGAATTGTGCTCGGAAATGTACTGGAAGCCAATGTAGATCTTTCAGGACAGGTGTGATATGGTCTTGGCGGCCACTCCCAGTCACCAGTCTGGCTGCTGCATTCTGGATTAGTTGTGGTTTCCGGGCCATCTTTAAAGGTAGCCCAAGTTCGAGTACATCACAGTAGTCCAAGCGGGAAATAACCAGAGCATGCACCACTCTGGCGAGACAGTCCGCAAGCAGGTAGGGTCTCAGCCTGCGTACCAGATGGAGCTGGTAGACAGCTGCCCTGGACACAGAATTGACCATGCATAATTTTACACATCAAAATTATGTGCAAATGTTGTAACCTCTTCTTGTAGGGGAGTTTTTCCAGCTTCCTTAGCATTTCGGTTGCTAGTTTCCATGTCTCCAATATCCTGATGATAGTTATTACAAGTCAGGGACGCGGACTTATAAAAAATATTGGGGGGGCCCGGGAAAGCTCATGAATAATAAATAAGCTCATGAATATGCAAATAAAGTGGCTTCGGCCCTAAATAGGGCAAGCCACGCCCCCCAGCCAGCTAATCGGCTGGCTGGGAGGTGTGGCCAGTCGGGATTCCCCTGTTCTCGCGGGGGCCAGGAGGAAGGAAATTTCCCCCTGCAGTGCCTTGGCAGTGGCGGTGGTGCTGCGAAGCAGCGAGGCAGGAGCCCCCGCCCCCGGGGATTCCCTAATCTCGCGGGGGACGGCCGGGGCTCTCCGACTAGGGCGCGCGGCTGGCTGGCTGGCTGGCTGGCGAGGGAGCAGGTGGGGAGGAGGCGGGGGACGGCGGCGGCGCTCTGCTGGAAGGGCGCCCGAGATCATTGGGGGGGCTGAGCCCCCCAAAAAAAATTTTTGAGGGGGCTCGAGCCCCCTCAGGCCCCATGGAGTCGGCGCCTATGTTACAAGTTTGGTCACACCATTGTTTTCTTCTGCTTTCCTAATGATCCATACTGTAGAATCCACCTTCTTCATAGCTGCTGCAATACTGTGTGGACTTCTTCACCTAGCTATAACCATGACCCTAAGATCTCATTCCTGCCAGTCACTGCTGGCTCAGTGTATATTATTATTATTTATTGAATTTATATATCACCCTATACCTGGAGGTCTCAGGGCGGTTCACAGAACAAAATCCAAATATAAAACCACAAAATTTATAATCAAAATAACAACAACCCAACCCCCCCCCAAAACCCCACATTTTAAAAGGACAGGGGTGCCCAAATGTTTTTTAAAGAGGGCCAGATTTGATGAAGTGAAAATGCATGTGGGCCGACCAAATTGTTGACTTTTTTTAGGACTGAAGTTTTTTTGGGGATTTTAACCCCAGGAAATAAACTGCCGGGGCCGGATTAAACTGACTGGTGGGCCCGATTAGGCCCCCGAAACGGACTTTGGACATCCCTGGCATAGGATATCTATCAAATCAACCAAAGGCCCAGTTAAAAAGGAACGTTTTCCCCTGGTGCCTAAAGGTTTATAATGAAGTTAGGATATTTTGCCCCAATGTACGACACTTTATACATACTTGCACTGAATCACATTTTCCCGTTTTATTCCCCATTTGTCCAAACCCTAATTCTCTCTAAGAGCAGCAGAACTACCAACAGGAAACTGGCATTTCCTTGCTGTATCATTAAAGGTCTCCCTTTTTGTTTCTCTCATCTTACCTGTATTAGTCACCTTGCCTTCAAAGGAATAAACTTTGTCCTGAAGAGCTAGTTTTTCAGTTATTGCATCATGTCGACACAAGTTGTACCCAGCACGTAGATAGTTGTACATGTGGCAATCTGGGTGACATTCTAATTTGGGATTTTCCTTTTGGGGATTTTTTTTAAGCTACGTCCAGTGCTGTGAGGTTTGGTGAGGTTTTCTGAAAAGCTTCCTGGCCCCATTGTGTTGGCAAACTCGCCAACGTTCTTATCTTTCCCACCTCCTTAATTCAATTCTTCATCTCTAGGGCTCCAGCTCATCTGCAGAGCTCTCTCTAGACTTTTACTAAATATGGCTAGCTTTCCCCCAGTTAGGTAAAATGACTGGCCTTCAAAAAAGGGTGTGTTTGGCTAGTTTGCAGACCCAAAGCTATTCAGGTGGCTGGGCTGCTATGAAGCTCAACAGGCATGAACAAGATTACAGCTAAAGATGGTTAAGGTCATATCCAAACACATTCAGTCCCATGCAAGAATGGGGCAGATTTTATTGTGAATGCCTTTGGCTACATGCAATAAATTGATTGATTACGACTTAAGAGTAGACATACATAGGCTAATACTGCACCCGTGTTGGAGCCCAGAAACGTGGCTCTCTTTCACCTTGGCTAAAATTACAGTTTAGTTTTCATTTTTTTAAATCTCCCAGGAATTCAGCTAAACTATATTCTACTGCTGAACTAAATCTGTACTTGTAGCTTTTCACTTCAAATATGCTAGCTTTACTCTTTCCAGACTTTGCTTCCGTTAAGGCTTATCTGTAGTTAATCTGTCTTAATTGCTAGAGTAGAGGTAAAAAATTGTAAATTGCTGCAGGATTACCTTCTTAGGGCTTTGTTCTTAAATCTGTTCTAACCCTGGTTTAACTTTAATATAAAGGTAAAGGGACCCCTGACCGTTAGGTCCAATCACGAATGACTCTGGGGTTGCAGCGCTCATTTCGCTTTACTGGCCGAGGGAGCCAGCATACAGCTTCCGGGTCATGTGGCCAGCATGACTAAGCCGCTTCTGTCAAACCAGAGCAGCGCACGGAAACGCCATTTACCTTCCCACCGGAGCAGTACCTATTTATCTACTTGCACTTTGACGTGCTTTCAAACTGCTAGGTTGGCAGGAGCAGGGACCAAGCAACAGGAGCTCACCCCGTCGCGGGGATGCTCTGTGGTTTAGACCACAGCACCACCACAGGTGGTGCACAGGTGCTTATCTTGTCCAACTCTTTGCCGCCTTCTTGACATTTTTCCTTTGGGCTGTGATATTACAAACAAATAAATATAACTTGAGGTAGGGACGCGGGTGGCGCTGTGGGTTAAACCACCGAGCCTAGGACTTGCTGATCAGAAGGTCGGCGGTTCAAATCCCTGCGACTGGACCTAATGGTCAGGGGCCCCTTTACCTTTACCTTATGAACTGATGAGCAATGAGAGCAAGAAAATTTTCATATACAGTTGTACCTTGGATCCCAAACACCTTAGTACTCGGACGTTTTGGCTCCCGAACGCCTCAAACCTAGAAGTGATCCAGTTTGTGAACTATTTTTGGAAGCTGAATGTCCAACGGGCGTCCGCAGCTTCCGATTGGCTGCAGGAGCTTCCTGCAGCCAATCAGAAGCCGCGCTTTGGTTTCTGAACTTTTTGGAAGTCGAATGGACTTCCGGAACGGATTCTGTATGACTTCCAAGGTACGACTGTACTACGGCCCCATTCACACATAACAAGGCAGATTTCTAACTTGCTGTGGTTTTCCGAGAATCAGTTCTGTGTTTATATGGGCTGCCAGGTGGCTCTCGCTTCACTCCTCCCCTGACAACGCTTCAAGAGTTATCCACACATCCGCTATTTGCCTAACTCAATTAAGGGAGCTATATTTAAAAGGTTCATCCATACTCATTCTGCAGGACATAAGTCGTGCCCTTATGCAATTTAAAACTTTGAGCTGATGAGTACACTTTCCAGTATTTGCATCGTCATATATTTTCAGAAACCACAGATGCTCATGGTGTTTGGTTCTTCCTCCCCCCTCCCCTTGCTAGATTGGTACTATTGCTTTTTTTTTTGTTGTTGTTGTTGTTACTAATACATTTTAAAGCCTTTTTAGTCCCCAAGTGGCCCACATATGATTAGGTTTATTAGAACATTTTTAAAACAGCAGGTTTTTTCGCATTTACTTTATGACTAGAAAAAAACTGTTGTCCAAAATAATAATAATGGCATGGTATCAATACAGAAGGGGACGCGGGTGGCGCTGTGGGTAAAAGCCTCAGCGCCTAGGGCTTGCCGATCGAAAGGTCGGCGGTTCGAATCCCCGCGGCGGGGTGCGCTCCCGTTGCTTGGTCCCAGCGCCTGCCAACCTAGCAGTTCGAAAGCACCCCCGGGTGCAAGTAGATAAATAGGGACCGCTTTCTAGCGGGAAGGTAAACGGCGTTTCCGTGTGCGGCTCTGGCTCGCCAGAGCAGCTAGGTCACGCTGGCCACGTGACCCGGAAGTGTCTCCGGACAGCGCTGGCCCCCGGCCTCTTGAGTGAGATGGGCGCACAACCCCAGAGTCTGTCAAGACTGGCCCGTACGGGCAGGGGTACCTTTACCTTTACTTATCAATACAGAAACAGAAACTCCCTATCTAAGGCAGACAATCTAAAGTTCTGCTGTGGGGGATCCACGGTCATCCTACAACCTTTGGCTATACAGATCTCATATATTTCTAATGGAAGGAAATATCATTACCATGGAGCCACCACAGAAAAGTCCCTAACATCAGTAGTGATCATCTCTATATCAGATGGTGATGCCACCTGCGAAAAGGCCATATTCCAAAACTTTAAAAATGGGGAGACAAATGTCAGAGGATATGGTTACTTAAATATCCAAGACTTGGGCTCTAAAGCTTTAAAGATTAACACCTTTGTTGCCATGAGAAGATTAACTATGATTTATTATGTTTCCATAAATGATCCTTCCATTCATCCCTACCCCCCACCCCTGTCCCACTTCTTAACAGTTTCATGATATTGTGTAGATTGCACGGTATAACCTTTTCTGTCCAGGCATCATTTACGTCTGGACAAAATGTCCCTCAAAATATTTGGACTGGGGAGAGTGATCTTTGCATTTTGCTGCCTTTATGAAAGTGGGTCATCTGCACATGATTATGCTAAGCACTCTTACTTTAAAATAAGATTTTAAAAAATAAATGTCGCTCTCACTGAGAAGGCTCACCGTGAAGCATTCTTACAAATCAAGACTTATTCCGCAAGTACTACTCCAGACAAGCAGGATAAGGGTTCCTAACGTACAATTATTTTTAGATACAAGGTGAAATGTTAGACTGTCTTCCGCACCCATGATACCACATATATTTGAATGAGGCCTAAATCCTAAAATAAGGATTCAGTGTACTTGATCCCACTGTGTATAGGACTCTCATAGTACGGTTCAGAATTAAAGGGAATTTCTGTAGATAAAAGCAAAAGCAGGTAAATTAAGGAGATGTTGCAATTATTTTTTTAAGCGACCATTATAAACATAACGTGACATTTTCCCCTTTTATTCCAGGCTGTACTTGCTGATCTTTCGACTCTGAAAGTTATGCCTCTTCTTCAGATTTTTCTGTTCGCCACCGGCACTTGATGTTCCTCAGAGCTGCTGTGCTGCACTGCTAGACTTTCATCAGACGCTAATAATAAACTATGCAACACTTTCGTTAAAATCAAGCTCAAATGTTAATGGGCGGAATTCTGCAAGAGTTAAAACTGCACTTCTCACATGGAAACCCCCCCCCCCAAATGCTTTTTGCATATCAAGTTAGCGCTGCTGCATGCTGCTGAATTTTAGCCAAACTGCAGTACCTGGATGTAATGCAAATCACATAACAGCCAATCCACCTAAGTGATAACCCCCAAACGCATGTACAATTAAATGCACCGAAAAGGAAATAGTGTATAATCATTCTAGAGTTCAGTTCTGCCTTTCTGACGCTGTGAGGTGGGGAAAGGATGTCTTCACTTATAATCTATTATCCAGTCACACCATCCGTCATCTTAAAAGTCCTGCAATACTTGAAAAAAAAAGTATTTCTGTAAAGTATTTAACTTTAAAAGTGTAATAATAACACTTCCTTTGAAAAATCACAGCAATACCTCTCTTTGCAACCTTTCTATATCATTCCTGATGGAAGAAGCATCTTGTTTTATTGTTCTTGGCTGGAGGCCGTGGACGAGTTTAGAGTTGAAGGTGGTATGATGGAGGCATCCTTTTTCTGTGACGTACTCCCTTTCCCCTTTCCCCTGCTTTTCTCTTTGGACCAACAGGTCTTGTAAGTTTTTGAAACACCTCCAAAAACCTCCAAAACCTGTTCGTTTTGGAGCTGACAGCAGGACCAATCGGCATAGAACCTTCCGTGCCGTGAAAGAAACTAATCTTTCTACTCCAGCCCTTACCAACTTATTCTCAAGCCTTTATCCTTGGTCCGTGTTGATTCTGCTTTGCAAAGCTATATATTACAGATAAAAATGCCTCGGCGCAGCTTTCTTCAGAACCTATCAAAGCCTTTCTGAACGTGAGCCAAAGCAGTTGCTTGTGAATGACGTCAATAGTTTTCTCCCCCCTAGCTCCCACCTCCTCTTTAGGAGCTGAATGTGCTGCATCTGCCATTTCCCTAGCCCCTGCTGGTCCAGGAACTTGTGTATCAACTCGCTGAGTCTAAGCTCGTATTGCTGCGTGACTTGAGTCGCGCTGCCGTCGGGACAGACAGTCTTTTACCGATGATGATTCCTTGCCCCCCCCTTTTCTCCAGGGATTCCAGTAAGCCTCCCTAAAATCCTAATTGATTACCAGGTTGTTCTAATTTAACCACATACAGCTGTTGGCCAAGATTGGATGTCGAGACCTCATTCGCGGTAAAGCTGTATCATTGATACGCTGCGTTAACTTTTGGCCAATTTGTTTCACGAGGTCCAGTTTGCTCTTGCAATTCCCAGCGGCCTAAAGACGTAACTTGTAATACTTTTTTTCCCATCGAAAGGAAGTTTTATGAACTTCCAAGTTTTATGAACTCGGCTCCAAGTTGTTGTCTGTCATTTGCAGTATTCAAATCTTTGTAGAAAAGAGAACGGCATGGCATGAGCAGATCCACAAAATGTCCCGCCCCCCCCCCAGCATAGACCTTACTGCAAAGAAACTTGCACCAGGGACTTGAGAGTCACTTGTCCACCTGATACATGTGGCACTCTCATCATCCAGATTTTGAGCTGTCAGCAAAGCTGAAAAATGATTTCAAGTCCAAATTTAAATTTATGCTCTGTTGCATGTAAGATGGTGGCTACCTACACTGATATTTGCCCATTTCCCGAAAGTGTATTTTAAAGGTTGAGTTGAATAATTTAAAAGTATTTTATTTATTGTACTGTACACAGCCTTTCTGTTGTTGTGAAGCTTCCATTGCATTGACCTTGGAGCTTAATTCCTCCTTTTGTTAGTTGAAATAATAAAAATGGTGTTTTCTTTCATAATATATATGCTGGCTGTAGAATCTGTTGTTCAGTTTTGGGATACAGTGGTACCTCGGGTTACATACGCTTCAGGTTACATACGCTTCAGGTTACAGACTCCACTAACCCAGAAATAGTACCTCGGGTTAAGAACTTCAGGATGAGAACAGAAATCGTGCTCCGGTGGCGTGGTGGCAGCAGGAGGCCCCATTAGCTAAAGTGGTGCTTCAAGTTAAGAACAGCTTCAGGTTAAGAACGGACCTCCGGAACAAATTAAGTACTTAACCTGAGGTACCACTGTACTTACAGACCACTGTGAAGCATTCCCCATTTTTACACCTTCCATAGATAAAACCTCGTTTGTGAGGTGAAAATACATCCCTATTCTCTCTCTCTACAACTAAACAGTTCTGCATACAAGCAGGTTTTAAATGGGGATGTTGTTGTACTACAGCATCCATCATTCCTAGCCATTGGCCATGCTAGCAAAGGCTAATGGGAGTAGGGAAACACACCAGCACAAATTCCACATCCTGTTAGAATGCAGTCAGTCCCAAAAGTGTATATGCTAGAGCCAGTGTGGTGTAGTGGTTAAGAGTGGTAGACTCGTAATCTGGGGAACCGGGTTCGATTCCCTGCTCCTCCACCTGCAGCTGCTGGGTGACCTTGGGCCAGTCACACTTCTCTGAAGTCTCTCAGCCCCACTCACCTCACAGAGTGTTTGTTGTGGGGGAGGAAGGGAAAGGAGAATGTTAGCCGCTTTGAGACTCCTTCGGGTAGTGATAAAGCGGGATAGCAAATCCAAACTCTTCTTCTTCTTCTTCTATATAGCACTTTTTTAAGCCAATGTCACCACTGGTGCAGTGGCAAAGTTTGAAGTCCAGGAGCTCATCACAACAGACCCCAAAGGAGAGTCCAGAGATAAGAAGCAGCCTGACTGCAATTCTTGGACTACTGCAGTGCGCTCTACATGGGGCTACCTTTGAAGGTGACCCGGAAACTGCAATTAATCCAGAATGCGGCAGCTAGACTGGTGACTGGGAGTGGCCGCTGAGACCATATAACACCGGTCCTGAAAGACCTACATTAGCTCCCAGGATGTTTCCAAGCACAATTCAAAGTGTTGGTGCCGACCTTTAAAGCCCTAAATGGCCTCGGCCCAGTATATCTGAAGGAGCGTCTCCTCCCCCATTGTTCTGCCCGGACACTGAGGTCCAGCTCCGAGGGCCTTCTGGTGGTTCCCTCACTGCTAGAAGCCAAGTTACAGGGAACCAGGCAGAGGGCCTTCTCGGTAGTGGCGCCCGCCCTGTGGAATGACCTCCCATTAGATGTCAAGGAAATAAACAACTACCTGACTTTTAGAAGACATTTGAAAGCAGCCCTGGGTAGGGAAGCTTGTAATGTTTGATGTTTTATTGTGTTTTTAATATTCTATTGGAAGCCGCCCAAAATGGCTGGGGAAACCCAGCCAGATGGGCGGGATATGAATTTATTATTACAGTGGTACCTCGGGTTAAGTACTTAATTCGTTCCAGAGGTCTGTTCTTAACCTGAAACTGTTCTTAACCTGAAGCACCACTTTAGCTAATGGGGCCTCCTGCTGCTGCTGAGCCGCTGGAGCACGATTTCTGTTCTCTCCCTGAAGCAAAGTTCTTAACCTGAAGCACTATTTCTGGGTTAGCGGAGTCTGTAACCTGAAGCGTATGTAACCTGAAGCGTATGTAACCCAAGGTACCACTGTATTATTATTATTATTAATTCATACCCCGCCCATCTTGCTGGATTTCCCCAGCCACTCTGGGCAGCTTCCAATAGATGATGATGATGATGATGATAATTCTGTACATCATTCCCCAGGAATAAGCATCACTGAACTCAGCACAGCTTGCTTACTTCTGACTGCACTGGTCTTCTTCTTCTTCTTCTTCATGTACGTTTGTTAGCTGCTTTATCTTGCCCAAGGCAACTCAGAGCGACTTAACAACCCAAAAAATCGAGCCAGTTTGCATTGTATGAAGTAGCCCCATAGTAGCCCCATAGGTTTCAATTCTATATAGACTTAACCTGGGGTAAGTCTAATTCAGGGTTTCCCAAACTCGGGTCTCCCAGCTGCCCCAGAACCACAACTCCCATCATCCTAGCCAGCAGGACCAGTGGTCAGGGATGATGGGAACTGCAGTCCAAAAACAGCTAGAAACCAGAGCTTGGAAACCCTGGTTCTATTGAACCTCCTTGGGTTAGCTTCTGAATAAACATGCATAGAAATACAGTGGTACCTCGGGTTACATACGCTTCAGGTTACATACGCTTCAGGTTACAGACTGCACTAACCCAGAAATAGTGCTTCAGGTTAAGAACTTTGCTTCAGGGAGAGAACAGAAATCGTACTCCGGTGGCGCGGCGGCAGCAGAAGGCCCCATTAGCTAAAGTGGTGCTTCAGGTTAAGAACAGTTTCAGGTTAAGAACAGACCTCTGGAACGAATTAAGTACTTAACCCGAGGTACCACTGTATCAGGAAGTTTTTAATATCTAAAGTTTTTACAATTTTTAAATGTGCTTTGAGCCGCCCAGAGTGGCTGGGGAAACCCAGCCAGATGGACAAGATATAAATAATATATTATTATTATTATTATTATTATTATTATTATTATTATTAGGGGGGAAAGTATTTGACCCCTGCTAAATTTGCCCGTTTGCCCTCTGACCAAGAAAGGACCAGTCCATAATTTTAATGGTAGGTTTATTGTAGCTGTGAGAGACAGAATAACAGGAAAACCCCCAGAAGCCCAGAAGACAAAAGTCAGAGATGGATGTGCATTATGTATTATTATTATTATTATTATTATTATTATTATTATTATTATCAGCCACTTCGATTCTTTTATTAAGCAATATACAATTTGTGATAGCTTGCTTGTACGAATGAGTCCTCACGGGTCAAACATTTATAACATCTCACAAAGCTTTTGCAGCTCACACATTCAGCTTTGAGACATCAAGTGTTGAGGAAACCAATTGATGAGAAACCAAGTGATGTTATCTGCATGCGTGACTCTATCTCCAGCTCCCAACTTCCATACGAAGATAGTACAGTGATACCTCTGGTTACGTACTTAATTCCTTCCGGAGGCCCGTTCTTAACTTGAAACTGTTCTTAACCTTAAGCACCACTTTAGCTAATGGGGCCTCCCGCTACCACCGCACAATTTCTGTTCTCATCCTGAAGCAAAGTTCTTAGCCCGAGGTACTATTTCTGGGTTAGCGGAGTCTGTAACCTGAAGCGGATGTAACCTGAAGCGGATGTAACCCGAGGTACCACGGTATGTGTGGCTGAGAAAACAGAGACAGGGCCTAAAATGATTTGGAAATTTCTGCTTGCACCTGTGTCAGTAGCACCGTTCGGTTTCAAAACAGAGACCCGGATCCAAAATGCTTGATCCAAGAATGTGGGGTGGACGGAATGGTTAGGAAACTTGACTAGTGTAGAGGAAATTTTCTAGGGCAGAAGTGATGATGCTTGCGCACCATTGTTCAGGGTTCTCCCTCCCTCCTGCGTATGTTGAGTGGGGACCCTGTTGCAACAGTTTTCCTTGAATAAAGATCAGGCTTGCTAGCCGCTTTGCTTCTCAATTTATTCTGGTTGGCCTCTGTTATTTCTCCTACCAATAGGGAACCCACTTAAGGACTGTATACAGGCTTTGGAATACCCCATAAGGGAAAGGGAGCAGTTTTTCTTATAACACAGTCTAAGGGGTCATTGCTCCTGTACTTTGAATAGAGGTGTGGAAGATAAAAGCTTCCTGTTATGTACTGAAGTTCTCACCCTGGGCCAGCAGGGGGATACTGTAGATAGTTATGCAAATGAAGGATCGAAAGTGACGTTCAGTGATTGGATAGTTACAGAAAATGGTTACTGTTGCGTTCTAGTGGCGCTCTATATAAGCAGGCTGGCTGAACCCTTCAGTTCAGTTCTGTTCTGGCCTGTGAATAAACAAGAGCTGTTTGAAGAATCGCTGTGTCGTCTGATATGTTCACCCACAACTTAACACTTCCCTTGCTAAAATTCCTCCTTCTGCGCAACTACTGATGGTACAAGTCCGTTCATTTTACCGGAAGAAAGCTTCAGACTAGTTTCCTCTGAAAAGGAGCATTTAAGGATGCTTTTCGTTCAAGGGCAAAATTCAGAGATATCCTTCTGGCATGCCCCAAAAAGGGGCTTCAGGCAATGTGTGTGTACAGTATGTGGTGTAGAGAAGGGATGGTTTTTGCTCAGAGGAAAATCATGAAGAATCCCACGGGCTTTGAGCAAAGTTAAAATGGACATCCTCGAGATGGCGGCCGGTGGCCATCCCATAATTTGTCCATGAGGTATTATGGTTGACTGGGAAAGGCTTAAGGAAGTGATTTCCATTAAGAAAACCTTTGTTTGGCTTCCTGTGGTTTTGCTGGTGTCCCACCATGGAATTTGAATATAACGATGCTATTCAATCGGTTTAGCAAAAGTTATTTTTTAAGTGCAGCACGGCTAATATTTACAAATGGTACATAGACAAATACGAATAAAGGTTCTGTAAGCATAGATGCAAATTCCTAGGTGCTACTATTGGGCTGGAGTGTTTGAGGGTTATTTTGTTTTGTTGGGGGGGGGTTGTTGCTGTTGGGTTTTTTTTTTGGATTTTTATGCTAGATCTTGTGAATTATGTGGAAATTGTTCCATTTGGTTGCGCATTTTTAATTTATTGTTTATGACTGCTTTTGTCACGTTGCAGTTAGTTTTTTTTCATTTTGTAAACCGCCTTAAGCGTGGTTTGAAAAGCTGACACACTAATAAAATTATGTCTGTGTGCATGTATGTACTTCAGATTCTCCCTCTGTCAGGCTAAATCAAGTATCTTATTATTTATTTTTTATTTATTTTTCATTTTATTATTATTATTATTAATTATTCATCAAACCTTTTATCGGCATCACATACAAACATCCAAAACAAATCAATACAGAATTACCACTTCCCCAGTGGCACAA